TCACTAAAGCGAGGGTTGGGACACCTTGGGCCCGCGGCTCCCCGGGGAACGCCCCCTGGTGGTCGGGGCCTTTTTTTTTCCCCGCCGCGTCCGCAGGTTCGGCCGATCGCGGCTCCCGCTGGCCGTGGTTCGCCATCCCAGGCCAATGGGGGCGGCGGGAAGCGGCGTGGGCCAAGGAATGTGCTGGCCACTGCTTCCCGCTGCCCCCATTGGCCTGGAGCGGCGAACTGCAGCCAGTGGGAGACACGATCGGCCGAACCTGCGGATGCGGCGGGTAAACAAACTGGCCCGGACCACCAGGGTGCTTACCCTGGCGAGCCGCGTGCCATAGGTTGCCAATCCCTGACTTAGGTCAACCTAGGTACATCACTGGGCTGTGAAAAATTTCCCTGTGCAATGTAGTTAGGTTGAACTAACCCCCACTGTAGATACCCCTAGGTCAACAGAAGACTACTACCTCTCAGAGAGGTGGATTACCTCCATTAATGGAAAAACCCCTTTTGGCAATGTAAGAAGCGTCTACACTACAGTGCTAGAGTGGCACAGTTGTGCTGCTGTAGTGTAGACATACCCTCAGTATTGTCCTAATGCTGTTCCCATTAAAGACAAAGGAGCAGAGTTTAGACCAATGTCGGATGCTTTAGGAGTAGGGTTGCCAACTCTGACTGAAGCTAGTCCAGATGTTTCCCCCCAACATGATGTAATGTCCTGTTCTTAAAATACAGGGCCGCCCAGAAGGGGGGGCAAGTGGGGCAATTTGCCCCGGGCTCCACAGGGGCCCCGCGAGCCCTGACCCGGTGGCGGTCCGGGTCTTCGGCGGCATTTCGGCAGGCGGGGGGCCCTTCAGTCGCTCCAGGTCTTCGGCTGCATATCGGCGGCGGCATTAGCGACTGAAGGGCCCCCCGCCGCCGAAATGCCGCCGAAGACCCGGACCGCCGCCGGGTGAGTACAAGCACCGCAGCTCCTCCGCTTTGCCCCAGGCCCCCTGAATCCTCTGGGCGGCCCTGTTAAAATATTCTATTAAAATCTCCTGGATTGCTTTCAATAGTCACCAGGAGATTGATGCTGATTCCAGGAGACTCCAGGCCAATCCTGGGGGGTTGGCAACCCTATTTAGGGGCAGAGAGAGCAGCCAACCCCGACAGCTTTGGAAAATCCCACCCCGCCTGCACATGTAACTGCATTACAGCATGAAAACAAGATGAATCAACCCGAAGCAAAGCGATCGAAATTAAATTCGCTAGGCATGGCAGGGACATGAGTCCTCACAGTCTCAGGCATCTCGGAGCGAATAGGGCTTTGAATCGATGGAAATAAATCTTTCCAATGAAATCCTCATTTATCTCATTGTCTCGTGACAAACATTTTTCTCCTCCTAAATTGGCCTGGATGCTCCATAACCACTCCCGGGAGATCTGATTGCTAAGGCTCTGGTCTTGGCATTGGAAAAAAAAAAGGGGGATGTGTGTCTCTAATCTTAGCTATGCCTCTCCTGTGACCTTGGGTAAGCTGCTTGAACCCAGATCCGCAAAGGTATTTAAGTGCCTGACTCCCACTGATTTCAAGTCCCTTTGAGGATCTGGGCCTTCATTTCCCCTCCTGCCCTTAGACTCAGACTGTGAGCTCTTTGGGACAGGAACCGTCTCTTCCTATGTGTCTGGGTTGCTATAGTAATTCAAATCAAGATCTGCAACTTGTGAGTTGCAAAGGTCAAAAGCAGCCCTGATGTTACAAATCAGTCAGCACCCTGATAGCCTGGCTGAGCTGTTGTTTTCTTAGCAGTGGGAGGCAGGCTGTTTACCAACCCTGCTCTTGAGTCCAAATTTCCTTAGCGAAGGAGCAGCCGGCGGCTCACTGTTCTTTTCCTTGGTTTTGCTGGAAAGAGAAAGCTTTTGATTTTTTCACAATTAGGAGCTGAGCAATCTCTTTACACTGGCGCTGGAGAGGTGGAAAGGCACCACCAGAAAAACACACAGCCTGCTGCCGCATGGACACTGGAAATCACAACGAGGATCTGAATGCAGCATAATCACAGCTGACCCGTGACCTACTGTCCCGCCCATCATCTGACATCTCCTCGCTAGGCGATACTAATGGGAGCCAATGAAATGAAGATGGCTAAACAGAAGGGGGCGAAAAACCAGGGAAATTCTGAATCTTTGCCATCCAAAGCGCCTGGAGGCGTGTCTGTTTGGATGGAAAAACAAGGAGGCGTCGTAGATCTTCTTCCAACACTGTAGCTGTTTTACGCCGTGCACTGCTGCAATTGAGGGCATCAGAATTTCCACTTTCAAAATCTTTCTGCTGTATATGCCGCATTAGCAACATAACAAAGCCTAAAAGAGGGTGAAAACAGTCCCCTGAGAATCCTTGCCCAACACAGGGCCTCCCCAGCTGGTGTGGAATCAGCACAAGGGTCCTACACGAGCCTCCGGTGAAGGGAGTGGATTGTGGCATAGCCAGAGCTCAACGCACTGTGGCTAAACTCTGCTTCCCAGGGTAGTGGAGTGTAAGTTGGAGCAGCTGTAGGACTGCTCCGACTTACCTCAGGACTGGGCAGGGCCCAGAATAAGTTGAGTGCAATTCGGGGATGTATGAGCAGGAGAAGTAATTCTTCCGTTCTACTCTGCACTGATTAGGCCTCAGCTGGAGTACTGTGTCCAGTTCTGGGCACCACATTTCAGGAAAGATGTGGACAAATTGGAGAAAGTCCAGAGACGAGCCAGAAAAGTAATTAAAGGTCTAGACCACATGACCTATGAGGGAAAAATGGAAAAAATTGGGTTTGTTAGTCTGGAGAAGAGAAGACTGAGAGGGGACATGAGAACAGTTTTCAAGTACATAAAAGGTTGTTACAAGGAGGACAGAGGAAAAATTGTTCTCCTTAATCTCTGAGGATAGGACAAGAAGCAATGGGCTTAAATTGCAGCAAGAGCAGTTTAGGTTGGACATTAGGAAAAACTCCCTGACAGGGTGGTTAAGCCCTGGAATAAAGTGCCTAGGGAGGTTGTGGAATCTCCATCATTGGAGTTTTTTTAAGAGCAGGTTAGACAAACCCCTGTCAGGGATGGTTCAGATAATTCTTAGTCCTGCCAGGAGTGCAGGGGACTGGACTAGATGACCTCTGGAGGTCCTTCCCAGTCCTGTGAGTCTATGATTCAATGTCTTAAAGGCACCTTAACACCCAACCTCCCACGTGCTCCTGCCCCAACGGCGGGAATGGAGTAACTGAGAATCAGGCCCAATACATCTAAACATCAGCATAGGAGATGGTTAATCTGTTACACTCCTTTAACTCTCTCCATGCCACTGTGTCTCTCCCTCTCCCGTGGATCAGATACACTTCAGGAGAGCAACGAGAATGGGCGGTTGAATGGGGACATCACTAACCCTGACTGTGCTCACCTTGATCCCTCAATCATCTGCTTCTCCCACCGCTCTCTTATCACCACCACCTCCCCCGCTGCGCACCATGCTGGCAACACCCTCCTCGAGCTGATCCATAAAGCCACTCACTTGCCTCCGATCTCTCAAGACCCATTGATTTCACGCTGCTCGCAAGAAAATGGCTAATTACGGGCAGGCCGAGGGGCGGTCATGAGGAGAGGGAGGGTGGCCCAGTGGTCAGGGTGCTGCTGACTTGGGAGAGCTGGGTTCAGTTCCACAGGTTTCCTCTGTGACACTTTAACAGCCACGTCAGATTTCGCTCTAACAGTCTCTTTACCGAACAGCTTCAGTTTCTTTCTGTGCCACCTCCTGGCCCACCAGGGAATAGCAACTCATTTTAACTCCACAGGTTTGGTGGAATACGCAAAATGAGGTGGGTGGGTCTCGGTATATCACCAGAGTGACAGGTGTCCACACTGCACAACCGGCACCCCAGCAGGCGATATCTGCTCCCCTCAGACATACGAATGCTAGTGAGGGTCTAAGAGTTTGGAGCCTCATGGAACCTCCGTTCAAGTCCTTTCCCTGCTACAGAATCCCTGTGTGACCTTGGGCCAGTCACTTAGTCTCTCTGTAACTCAACTGCAAAACGTGGTTAATAGCCCCACTGCTCACTGATGTCGTGAGGATAAATATAGTAAATATTGTGAGGTGCTCAAGACGACAAGGACTGAGCAGGCTCCAGCGTCTGAGCGACGCTCTCGATCGTAGTCCTTCCAGAATAGGGAGAGAGGCTTCAGGGGAGGGGGAATTAGGGATGCTTACCCTGCTGCTGCCCATGGTCTCTGGATAAACACAGGACTCCAGAGTCATTGAGCCAGTCCATCCAGCACCTTTCACCAGTTCTGTTCTATACAGGTTCTTACACCATGCTCACCACTGTAGCATTTGAGCTTCCAGGGGTGCGCTAAGCAACGTGACTACACACCTGAAACAGTGAAAATACACCAGTAGTGAAATCATGCGGGAAACACCCCTCCCCCCCACCAGACATAGCATGAGCATGTGCTAAGATTTCAGCCTGGTATTTTCAGTGTCATTTTCCCCTGGAACTAAATGTCCAGCAGGACGTAAACAAGTTATTTTATAAACTGAAATTCACCATCATTTGGATGGTGCGTCAGGTCACCTATCGAAGGTATTTCCATGCATCACGTCGGATCGAGCACCTCACCCTCTTTAACGTCTGTTTCTTCACAACCCCCGTGGGAGGTGATATTATACTCAGTGCACGGGGGATAGCTCAGTGGTTTGAGCATTGGCCTGCTAAACCCAGGGTTATGAGTTCAATCCTTGAGGGGGCCATTTAGGGATCTGGGGCAAAAATCTGTCTGGGGATTGGGCCTGCTTTGAGCAGGGGGTTGGACTAGATGACCTCCTGAGGTCCCTTCCAACCCTGATATTCTATGATTCTATGGGGAATGGGAGCACAGGCATGCTCCGAGGCCACTGTAGAGCACGTCTACCAGAGCAGGCCCCCCACAAAAACACAGCAGGAGGAGCTGTCACTCCATAGCTCAGTGGTTAGGGGGCCAAAGCCTGCACCAGAGAAGGGACTTGAGCGTAGGTCTCTGCCTCTGAGATGAGCGCCCTACCCAGTGGGCTAAGGGGTTTTTCAGAATAGGCCTTTCTCCATCTCACCTCTTGAAGCTGGTCCACTTTGTAGATATAGAGAAATAAACATGAATTGGGCAGAGTGAGAATGAGTTTATAACTCAGTGGCTAGGGGAATGGGGGAGAGTCAGGCCTTTCTTAGGAGCACTCCTTGGTGCATAACCAAGGCAGTCTGCGCTGTGGCACATGCCTTACGTGGAATGTACTTGCTCCACGCTGGGGTTGATGGGCAATCGAAAGAACCTGGTAAGTTTATGGAGGGGGTGATCTGAGGAGATTGCCTACAATGACACATGGCCTATCCATGCTGGCTGTTAATAAAAATCTCCAACGGCCGGAGATGAAACACTAGAGAGGGAAGGCTCTGAGTTACTACAGAAAATTTGTTCCCAAGTGTCTGGCTGGTGGGTCTCACCCACATGCTCAGGGTCTAATTGATCACCATATTCGGAGTCAGGAAGGAATTTCCTCCCAGGTCAGATTGGCAGAGACCGTGGAATTTTTTTTGTCTTTCTCTGCAGTGTGGGGCCTGGGTCACTTGCTGGTTTGAACTAGAGTAAATGGTGGATTCTCTGTAACTTGAATTATCTAAATCAAGTTTGGAGGACTTTGGTGACTCAGCCAGAGGTTATGGGCCTATTGCAGGAGTGGGTCGGTGAGGTTCCGTAGTCTGTGAAGTGCCAGGGTCAGACTAGATGATCATGATGGTCCCTTTTGGCCTTAGAGTCTATGAGCCTATGAGCTAAAACCACCAGGATTTTCTGCCATGGCAGGTAATATGCCCTTCTGATTCCATACTTAGCTCTTTGGGCCAGAGACTGTCATTGTGTTGTCTTCAACACATAGCACTATGGGGACCTAATTGGAACCCCAAGGTGGTATCACAATACAAATTATTATCAACAATAATGATTTCCATCCCAAACTCTGCCGTGCAGGTGATGGACGTGCGGGAGCTCAGAGGACAGAGAAGGGTGTGAAGGCGGAGCCCTATGGAGAGCCCAACAGTGCAGCCGTACGTTGACGTGGACAAGGGGTTTGCCATTGGGTTTGTCATCCTGATGTGCTTCTTCCTGATGGCCATGATCGTGAGGTGCGCCAAGCTTATCGTGGACCCGTACAGCGCCATCCCCACCTCCACGTGGGAGGAGGAGCAGATCAATTGACTGGCAATAAAGGGGAGGGAAATTGCTAATCAATTCTATGTGTTTGACTCCTTTGCCATCCCTGTAATCCCTGCCCCTGCAGGGAAAATGAAGATTCCGTAGTTTAAATTGTGCATTTGACAGAATCTAACACTAATGATAATGCTCGGTACCCTCCATCTGAGGGCCTCCAAGCACGTTGCAATGAATTCAGCTTCATAAAAGCTCTGGGAGGTAAGTGAATATATTAAACCCCTTGTGTCAAGTGAGCCAGTGGCCAAACCAAAAACTGAATTTAGGAATCTTGACTCTCTTTGTCTGAAACAGTAGATTCCTGTGACACCTTATTGAAGAAGACAGTAGTAGCCATCTGGGCCGGCTGACCCCGACAGCAAGACGGAGTCGGAGATGGTTGCTTATGCCAGGCAGCTGTCTCTACAAGGGGCAAGCGAGTGGCTGCAGACCATCATACTCTGTTATTCCTGCACACTCATAACCATGGTATCTGTGCACGATTAGCATGGGTCGCGTGGTGTTTCTCTCCTGTGATTCTGCGCATGTGTAATCACCCCTGGCGAGGTCCTCACTGTCTGAACTCTCTCGACCTCCAGCACAGGCCTCTCCCGTTTGAGATGAAGGAGCAGCAGTAGTAGACTGTTATCCCCCACTAGCGTAGGGGCATGTGGCTGGCACCCAACTACGCACCGCTCAGAGACTTGTGCCCAAGTAGCCCCCAGGACTCCAGCAGGGATTCTGGAAGGGTGTGTGTGTGGGAGGGCAGACTCCTGATTGCCATACCCGCCTCTGACACTGACTCTCCATGTGACCTCGGGCAAGTCACCTTCCCCCTCCCAGCCTCCCCCCTGCCCCTTTAAGAGAAGCCTCAGCCCGCTGGTGCGACATCTTCAACAAGGGTCTCGCAGCTCTCCCAGCGCATGCGCACCGCCCCAAACAGCCCCACGGGCCGCTAGCCCTTTAAGAGCGCCCCCACCTGGCGTTGTTAGCGCATGCGCAGTATCCACCTGTGGGCTCTCGTCCCGCTCTCAATCGGAGCTCACTTGAGCTTCGCGGGCTACCGTCGCCGGAAGTGTCGTAAGGTCCCTTCCGGTCCGTCCCTGGCGGCGGCTCCTCAGAAACTGTCCCCCCCCACCCCCGGGAGAGGTGAGGGCTGCAGGCCCGGGGGGCTGGGGGCGGGATATGGGGTGTGTGTATCTGGAGGCGGGGGGTTGGGGAGCCCGGGGGGCGGTGGGGGAGGTCGGGGGGACGTAGGGGAGGGGTCTGGGGGGTGGTGGGGGAGGGGGATATA